GGTGTCTGTCATTTTAGCACATTTAAAGCCCCTTTCAGTGCCATTCTTGTTCTCAGAAGCCTACTTGGGTGCTTCAGACATTGCCTAGCTCATTATTCCTTGCAGAAGGTTAAGGCCTTTTCTGCCCGACCGGAACTATTCACTAATTAGAGACCTTCGTTTGGCACTGAATGTGTCATGCCTGCAAGCCTTCCTACTGCGATCAATGGCATTTTGTTCACTTGCATAAATGTACAATAGATGCAAACCTCAGCAGAAAGCTACCTTCTCAGCTTGGACTAAGGGAAAATAAAAGAGATCCTTATAATATGTATGCATTTTCTTAACCAGCAGAAAAAACAACAATCTGGAGCTGTTGACCAACATGTTCGCTGGAACAGTTGTGAGCTGAAAAGTTTCTTCCCTGCCCCCATTTCTCTCTCGAAATTCTTTAAAATGTCCTTTTTCTGTGGGTCATGAATCAAATTGAGTCAAACTGTTTGATAAAGTGAATCTCAGACTGATATTTTGTGCTCCTTATGTTGTTTATAAGGTTAACTGCAGCAGTTCCTTAAAACTGTATCTCAGGGTCAGAATGTGGATTGAGTCCTCCTAGGAAGGGATGGCAATTACGTATAAGCAAAAGCGTGGAGTCTTCAATTTATAAGTATGCAGCGGTGTGGCTTTGTTGTGTTGATAAATTGTATTGTTCCTCCTGTGGCAAAGATCTCCATTGAGGTGGCTTCCCAAATCTTGCATGTTCTGGATATGTCAGTTGTAGTATGTTTTAGTTCCTGACTTTCTTTGGTTTTAGGCAGGGGATTTCAAATGCTGTACATTCAGGAATTCTTCATATACCAGTTCCTCTCTTGGGGATGTCAAGAAATCTTGCAAAATTTCTCATTCTCGTCAAGTCACTTTATCTTTTCAGGGTTTGACAGCCTGTTGCAAGTTTGTTAACCTCCATAGGATTTCTCACTTCCAATGTGAGAGCGAGGAAGCACATTTAAATTCCTGCAATATGCGGCAAAACTTACTTTCCCTCCTTTTGAAGTGAAATGATTCGTATAGCATGAATACAAAAATACACATTTATCAGGAAGATGCAGGCAGTCTGATGCTTCTGAGCTTTAAAACTCACGCAGCAAGGCTATTGTATATTGTGTTTATTTTACAAAAAATGTTCTTATAGATAATAGCAGTTTTATCGATAGTTTGTTAAATTGTAATTTCATGCATGAAAGGAGTTTTTTCTGTATGCATGTGAAGTTTTGCATCTCTAGTCTCTCTAGTAACTGCTGTGTTGCATAGGATTCAAGGGTGAACTCTAGGGCCCATTATCAGTTATCATGGGCAGTACAGGTGCTTTGATCACAGAGTTATGTTCTGAAATAATTTACAATAGATGCCCATTGGAGCAGAATGCCAGTACTTGTAGATAAATGGTCTTGTGGGTTAAACTGGTCATGATCAATTTTGTGCTTAAAGATCCTTGATAAGGTTACGTGGAATCCAGTCTGAAAATCATTAGTTTAAGACTGTAGAAGAAATAAATCACATTTCCTCTTCTGTCGACCTGTAGAGGAATGCAAATGAGGAGTATTCCTCACACCTTTCTAATCCTTTTCTACTCATGCAGTTTTGCATTGGAAACCGCGCATGCTTGTTTTGTCTGGTGGATGAGAAATTTACAAAATTCATTGCCAAGAAATAGGATGAGCACCATAAGCTACACATTGGGAAAGCAATTATATAATTAATGTGCTAATACTCATTTTAAAGCTTATTTAGCACAGTGGTTAATCTGGCTCTGGTCACTACCATTGATAGTCTTGCTTCATCCCTGTTGAAACCGGAATAAGTGTGCTTCCACCCCTTTTTGCAGCAAGAAACTGAAAGTTTACTTGAAATGTGTGGATGTGAAGGTTGAACAATTAAGACAGAGCACCAGAAAAAAAATGATTCTTTTGAAATGTGATGTTGGAAATACCTGTATGAATTAAAGTGCACCACTGGAAGGACGGGGAAGCATACTAATTCAAATCAAGCCTGAACTCTCAGTAGAAGTTAAATGGCTAAAATAAGACTATTGTACTTTCTACATACTGTGACAAGACTTAGGATGTGAATGCATTGGCAGAAAATGCAGGAAATGGTAGAGAATTGGGATGGGCAATTCTATTTTTTTATTGACCATATGGTGTGAGAGCCAATATGAGTGAGCCTGAAATTCTGCCCCCATCTGTGGTTTTGCCCTCCACTACTGAGACTTCTACTTTTTAAAATATTGAATCCATTTGCATTAGTTCAGGTAGTGTGATCACTTGAACCAAGGTAGAAAAATCGTGATCCTTTGCTCTCCACTGTTCCCCTCTGGGCAGAATATGGTACTTCTTTTTTAACAGCTTGGTACTAGCACTGTTGTGCTAGGGCATCTAGATGTCTGTGTGTGGGAGGAGGAGGAACAAGAGGAGGAAATGAGATGAGGAAATTGCCACTCTGCCCTATTTACAGCTTATTAAGTACAGGCGTACCTTGGTTTACAGAAGTAATCCATTCTACCTGATGTTACGTAATGCAGAAATTTCGTAAACCGAAATGCTAATTGTGCTAGGAAAGGGGCGGCACTATAGGCGCAGTGTGCCCTGGGAAAACCTTTTTGTACTGCAGGAAAAAAAAGGAAAAAATGTAAACCGAGGCATTCTTTTCTATGGATTTTGGTTTGTAAACCAAAAACTATGTAAACCGAGGCGTTCGCAAACTGAGGTACCACTGTAAATTTTTTTTGTTGATGCACCTCCTACATGGCTATGGAGAGCTACATTTACAAGCTGCAAACAGGGCTGTTTAGCTAGTTCTTTTCTCCTTGTGTGGCCAGTTAATTTGAACAGACCTGGGGAAATCTGAATTCCCAGGTGCAACTTCATAGCAAGTGAATTCACATTTCCCTTTCACTTCATAGCAAGTGAATTCACATTTCCCTTTCACTTCATAGCAAGTGAATTCACATTTCCCTTGCTGTGTGCTGTGTTCAGTCCTTCTCTTTTCCCAGTGGGAAAAGAGAAGGACTGAACATGAAATGGATTGAATGAATCCAACGTGAATCCATGATCATTAATTCATAAATTTACCATAAGTCAGAAGCAACTTGACAGCACATAACAGCACACATTAAAAGCAAATGCTGTGTGTGTTTCTAGTATTTGTGTAGTTTAAAAGAATGAGGAAATAGGTATAGTTGCAATATTTTGCGATTCAGAAAGCATTTGGGAAGTGCAAATATATTTCAAAAAATGAAAATATCTTTAACCTTAATTTGAAAAACAATACAGTGGAACCTCTATGTACGAACTTAATCCGTCCCAGAAGATGTTCGTTAGTTTAAACATTTGTAAGTAGAAGCTCCATTTTCCATAGGAATGCATTGAAAACCATTTAATCAGTTCCGGCCAAAGGGAAACCCCCCCCCCAATAAAAAGAACACAGCAAGCGTGGTCGGAAGGCACTGAAGCTTTAAGAAAGGGAAAACACTCCAACAATAAACAGTAAACCCAGCTCCGTTGCTGAGTCATTAAGAAAAAAAGCTACCAACAACACAGCACAGAAACATATCTGCTCCAGCCAAAACCCACCCAGAACAGTTTTTTAACAGGAGAAAACAGCAGCTTACCTCCCTGTAGAAACACACACGCATGCAGGCTCACCCCGAAGCAGGAGGCTCTCCCAAGCCTGCAACTGCTACACACCCTATAACTGCCGAAACAGCTACAGCACAAAGAAGCAGCCTCGGCGCCGCCTACAGTTAGAAATTTGAATTGCCTGCCTTTTCCCCACTGCCTTTTTCTCTTTGTATCTTGAAGCTCCATTCGTAAGTAGAAGCAAAATTTTGTGAACGGAGCTGTTTGTAAGTTGGATTGTTCGTAAGTAGGGACGTTCGTAAATAGAGGTTCCACTGTAATCTACCTTTAAGTCGACACAAGTGCTCTATATCAGTTCTGATCTCTAAATGTTCATCATTTGTGAATTATATACCTTGGGGGCAGGTATATGACCTGAGAACCAAACATCTGATTTTAATTCATTATATATAAAAAAATCAAAACTAGAGCAAAGTGAAATCAATGTTCTTTTTGTGTAAATAAGTTAATAGAATCAAAACAAGAGGAGAAATCCCTGGAGGTAATAACAACTGAACTAGTTTGATCATGGATGCTAGTTGTGGAATGTGCAGGTGGTACTGGTCATACTAGGCTTACATCCAAGGATGACTGTACTGTGAAAAGAGAAAAACAATTGTTCTATAACATTTTTGGAAATTAAGAAAAGCTTCCGCAGGGCTGGGAATATCACCAGATTCTGTGTTTTAATTTTGTTTATACAAGTGATAGAGCTGATAACAGAGTATAAAGAATCCTGCATTTCAGGTATGGAATTGCTTGTAAGTTCACAGAACACCAAAATTAATCCAAATTCATTACTTTTTAGTTTGTCCACATTCTATAAACATCTGTCTAGGACAGTGATGGCGAACCTGTGGCACACGTGCCACAGCTGGCACACAGAACCCTCTCTGTGGGCACACAAGCCATAAGTCGCCATAGAGAAATACTTACCTGTCCTCTGATCCTGGATTTCAGCACTCCCCTCTGCTGGTGCAGTGGTCCGGTGGAGGGGTGCAATGGCGACCATTACTGGTCTAGCCCAATGGGGGATTCGAGGACCAGTAAGTATTTATTTGTTAAAACTGCCCATAGGAAAAAAACACCAAGCATTTAACCCTTGCAGTGCAGGAGCAGTTGCTTTTTTCTAAAGTAAAATGTCAGTATTCAGCTTTTAATTGCAGTGTTGGCACTTTGAAAAAAAGTTGATTTTGTGTTGCAGTTTGGGCACTCGGGCTCAAAAAGGTTCACCATCACTAGTCTAGGATCTAGGGTTGCTTAATTTTCTTGATACCTGTGTTTCTATGTTTTTGTTTGTTTGTGTCTTTCATTTTTCAAACAGTTGTCCCTGTGTTTTTACAGTCCAGAAAGCCTCTATCAAACCACCCTACAGGGAGCCACCTGTCTTCAGATTCAGTTTGTCAAGATAATTTACTGGTTAGAGAAGATGAACAAAACAGTGAACTTCATGCTTCTTTAATCAACAAAAATGATCAAAAGGTAAGTTCAATTTGTTTATATCTACTATGTTATGGGCTTTACCTGAAGCCATCTAAAAATAGCAGCACATCAGTCTCTTAAGGTTGCATACAGTGGTGCCCCGCATGACGACGATAATCCGTTCCCCTGAAATCGCTGTTAAGCGAAATCGTCGTCATGCGAAAAAATTCCCCATTGGAATGCATTGAAACCCATTTAATGCATTCCAATGGGGAAATTACCTCGTCGTCCAGCGAAGATCGCCCATAGGGAAGCCATTTTCCAAGGGCCAATCAGCTGTTAAAATGGCTGCCCTGCAAAGCATGGGTCCGGAAAACACAGGGCAGCCATTTTAGGAACCCGACGATCAGCTGGAAAAATCCTTGTTGTGCGAACAAACGGTTTGCGAAGCACAGACCTAATTGTCGTCAAACGAAAGTCCCCCATAGGAAACATCATTTTGCAATTGCTATAGCGATTGCAAAAAAGTCATCATCCAGTGGATTCTTGTTTAGCAGGGTTGTCGTCATGCGGGGCAACACTGTATATGAATTTACATTCCACTTTAATGCTTCAAAATGTAATACAGTGGGGTCTCTACTTAAGAATGTCCCTACTTAAGAACAATCCAACTTAAGAACAGCTCCATTTGCTAAATTTTGCTTCTACTTGAGAACAGAAATCCAAGATAAGAACAGGAAAAAAAACCTTTCCTGCTCTTTTTTTAACCTTAGGTCATCTTAGGTTAAAAAAAATTCTCCCCCTAGTGGTAGAGTACATATTAACCAGCTTTGCATTAGTTCCTATGGGAACTAATGCTTCAATGTACGAATGCACCTCTACATAACAAAAAAACAGCCAGAACGGATTAATTGGTTTTCAGTCCATTCCTATGGGAAATTTTGCTTCAACTTAAGAACGTTTCAACTTAAGAACACCATTCCAAAACGGATTAAGTTCCTAAGTAGAGGTTCCACTGTAGTTTCTATGGACGGAAAAGAGCAGATATGGATTAAATGGTTTTCAATGCATTCCTAAGGGAAATGCAGATTCAACATAAGAACTTTTCAACTTGAGAACCACCTTCCAATACGGATTAAGTTCTTAAGTAGAGACCCCACTGTATTATTCTGGTGTTGCAGGAGCACGGGGCATGCATGGAAAGAACATTCCAGAGCCAATGCTTATAATGATTGAGATTAGAGATCCACTCTGGAGGTATAGCCACTTAATTATATTGGTCATCCAGTGAATTCCCCACTTCGACTATGCAGCTATAGTTCACTTTAAAAAATAAAACAAAAAAGAACTCCCTGTGAAATCTTTAGCAAATCTATTTAAGATGCACTTTATTATGTTATTTACTCTTTTTTATGTTGTGCATGCCCTCACCTGCCTGGGCCCTCCAAATTTTGATCCCTTCCTTATTTTGATCCATAGCTCAAGACTCGGTATATTTAGTAACAACAGGATTTATTAAACCTGCACTTGTTTAGAGAACAGGAACATCAATAAGAGGTGGAGCAGTGGTTCCTGGCCTTGAGTAACCCAGGTGTTCTTGGATACCCCAGATACCCCAGCCAGTACAGCTGCTGGTGAAGGCTTCTGGGACTTGCAGTCCAAGAACCCCTGGGTTTTCCAAGGCTGGGAACCACCGAGGTAGAGGATCTCTTGCCTCTGAACTCAAACTATATTCAGTCCTCTTTTTTTGCCGTCTAATTGCTTCTTCTTCGTGGTCTCTGTGAATGCACACAGTTGGGTTGTTCTGCACCTGCACAGGACCTCTCGGAGGTTTCTAGAGTTTAAAGATAATTGATTAGTGGGATGTTCCCCCATGGAGTGCATGCTCCGCTGACCCAAAGTCCCCTCAGTTCCTTTTAGCCGCCATTTTGGTTGGACCTATTTCAGAATGTTAGAGTGATTGAGCAATTGTATTTTGTGAGATCATTCCTTTATTTTTCTTCTTCAATCATCTCTTTTGTTGGACGTTTCCCCTGTTTATTCTACGTTCTCCCCTTTAGATTATCAAAATCTATTTTTTCTTCTTCCTGCAGTTTTCTCTCCCTGACCCCCAACTACCCCTCCCTTCCCCCTTTTCCTACCTGTTATGGCCCCTCCAGGGCCTTTCAAGCAGTGTGTGCTCTGCACTAATAAGATCCCGCTCACCGACAGTCACAACCATTGCCTCTTTTGCCTCGGAGATCAATATCAAACACACTCTTCCCCCAAGTGTAAAAACTTATAAACCTGCTCTTAAACTATGACTACAAAGACTTTGTACCTCTGGGAAAAATCTCTTAATCCAACTACCATGGATCCAGTGACATTTCCACGTCCAGAACATCGAGAAACCCCTTGACCGGTTTTGAGCCCTACGACTCCTTCCCCTCGTCAGAAGGACCACTTGAAGTCAGCTTCGAAATCGAGCTCGATGTCCATGTTGAAAACTCCGATCTGTCCTGATGACTTTTCTAAGAAAAAGAAAGATAAGGCTAAACCTAAAAAGACCAAGAAACCTTTGAAATCAACTCATATAGACCCACCCCAATCGGTACTCCCCTCTCCGATCCTTGAAGAGTCATCTAGAGATGCCCAGGGCTCCATCTCGGATAGAGATGACCCTACTTTGACACCGGCTCAAGCTGCAGCCTCAGTTGTTAGCCTCTTGCCGAACACTGGCCTATCTCCGGCTGATGTTCATTCCAGCCTGGCCTCAGCCCATTCAAGCCCTAGATCACCAGAGCGGGCAGTACCTATTCAGGTCTCTGGCTCGGAATCGGCTCATCACTCTCCCCACAATACCGGCAAAAGAGACGACATCTCTTGTCCGTGCACCATGACCTCTTGTATAGGGAATTCTACTACTATCCTGAGCCAGCTCGCTACTCATCAAGAGATGATTATGATTCGTACCATCGTTATGACCCCTTCTGTCATGAGGATCCGACTGAACATGTCTATTATGATGAGCGCAAGAGAATGAAATATGTTTGTTCACCTCGTTATTCATCCTCCGTATCACCCTCACCACCTCAACGTCAGCATCATTCTTCTGCATAGCCGACATCAACTCACCATACGTTGATCCCTACTAAATCAGCTCTTAAACGAACTCTCCCTCCCCCACTTTCTCCAACTCAATCTAAATGGACCAAATTCTCTTCCATCTCAACACCTGCCGCCACCATTACAAACTTTGACATTAACAGTCAGACCTACACACCTATCACCATCTTCTGAATCCTCTCCTTCTGTTCAGGATTCCTCTTCTGATGCTTCTCAAGAATCTCCCTTGAACTTGCCTACCTCCCTCTTCCAACGTGGCTGAAACCCACTGCCTTCTCCATCAGAGGATTTCATGTCCTACTCCCAGCTTGTCACGCGAATGGCAAAATCTCTGGAACTAGATGTTGAAGAACCACCGCCTCAGAAAAAGGACTTGTTCTTTGATGATTTAAATCAAGACAAGACACCCCATCTTAGACTTTGATTCATTCCTGCAATGCTTGACTTGGTTAAAGAATCTTGGGATAAGCCCCCTTCATCATTGCAAATTTAGAGATGTGTCAAGAATCATTATAAGACCCATGGTCCCAATACAGCTTGTCTCTTTAAACATCTCACACCAAACTCAATCATAGTAGAGTCTAATTAATCAAGAGCATGGAACAAAACATCAGTAGCCCCTACTAACCGAGAAGGGAGAAAACATGATATCTTAGGGAGGCACCTGTACTCTCTTACATCCTGCAATGGGTTCATACCACAGACAGTTGTGGAATAAGATTCTACCTGTTCTTCAAGCCGCGCCGGATGCTTCAAAAACTGAAGCTCTAAATATCCATGCCAAGGCCACGACCCTAGCTAAGCAACAGAGAATTGCTTCACGTCATACGCCGCGTCTAAGGCTATGTCAACCTCCATCGCCTTGAGGCCCCATGCTTGGCTGAGATCAGGGGTATCTCTGACGATGCCGGATCACAAATTGAAGAGCTTCCATTCGATGGAGCTGGTCTCTTCAATGCAAAAACTGATGAAGTGATGGATAATCTTCAAAAACTGCATGTTCATATTCTACCCAACAGCAGCCTTGCCAGTATCAGCGCCATCAATTTCACAGACAACCATTCTTCCAACAGCCCTTTCAGTCCTACCAACATCCATACCGACCGTACAAGCCACTAGTCTGATTGATCATACTCTAGCCCATCGACATCAACACCTACCTTCCGTCCTCAAGAACAGTAGACACGTTGACGACCCTTTCGATGCCCACAAAAAAGGGTAAGCAATATTCATAGACTTTTTCCATCTTCTTTTCGAACTAGACTACATCCTTTCCTCAACTCCTGGCATCGAATTACTAATGACCAGTGGGTTCTTTCTATTATCCAAAACGGTTATTTTATTGAACATATTCCACCTTCTGGCACCATTAGGACCACTCCGTATTCACTGGCTCTTCGACAAGAAATTTCCCTTCTCCTCCAAAAACAAGCTACAGTATATACATAGTCCCTCCTTTTGCCCTCCACGAAGGATTTTATTCAAGATATTTTACAGTACCGAAAACAGACGGAGAACTCCGCCTTGTTCTTGACCTTCAAAATCTCAATAAGTTCATTCAACCTAAATCCTTCAGACACTTGACACTATTATCCCTCTCCTTTCACAGGGGGATTGGTTTGTTGTCATCGACCTTCATGACACGTACTTTCACATCTCTATCCATCCGCATCACCACAATTCCTCTGATTCCAATTTGATGTCTCATACCAATTCTGTTCCCTCTGATTCGGTCTCTCTATGGCACCAAGGACCTTCACCAAATGCATGGCACCAGTTGCCACCTATCTCCGTCTTCAAGGTATCACCATATTTCCTTATATCGACGACTAGCTGATAGTTGCCATTTCCTGTCACGAAACCGCCAGAGCCACCCAATTCATTCTCGATACTCTTTGAGACCCTGGACTCGGGGTGAACTTTGCCAAATCCCATCTTGAACCATCACAGACCACCACTTATATGGAGCATACTTCGATTCCCTACAAGCCAGAGGTTTGCTCTCTCAGGAGAGGATTGTCAAACTAATAAGAGCAATACAACTTTTTCGACCTCTAGCCTCGGTATCAGCATATCATATCCATCACCTTCTTGGGCTCATGGCTTCCTCGACCGCCATTATCCAACATGCTCAGCTGAAAATGAGGTCCCTCCAGTCATGGCATCTGTCACTCTTTGATCCCATGATAGACCTCCTGTCCAAACGTCTCACAGTAACTTACGAGCTTGCCCATCAGCTAACCTGGTGGACATTTCTTCCACATTACTCGTCGGAAGACCTTTTCTACCACTTCAACTCACAATGCAAGTCACCACTGATGCCAGCCCGTCTGGCTGGGGGGCACATTGTTGACATCACAGAATCCATGGTCTCTGGACAAGACAAGAACAGTTATTACACATAAACCACCTCAGACTTTTAGCAATTATCAAGGCCTTTTGTGCCCTTTTACCAATCATTGCAGGGCAGGTTGTACAACTAGCTACAGACAATACAACAGCCCTTTATTATGTGAACAAACAGGGAGGCACACACTCCCTCTCATTACTATACCTGGCTGTTGAGCTCTGGGAGTAGTGTTACCTGCACCACATTTTCCCATTAGCAGTACATGTCTCCACAGATGACAATCTACTCTCAGACCATCTCAGTCACCTCAGCATGTGAACACATGAGTGGTCATTGGATGACAAAGTTTTCAATCTCCTGTGTCACTGGTGGGGTGTCTCGTCCATCAATGTCTTCACCTCCGAGACCAACGCCAAGTGTCACTGATATTGCTCCCATGCCAGTACCAACAAGAACTCACTCGGAGATGCCTTTATGATTGATTGGAATGACAAATTCCTCTACCCCTTCCCTCTGATACCACCCATTCAATGCACCATCCTTCAGCTTCGTCAATTTCACTTGAATGCCATACTTCTCGCCTCATGGTGGCCACAACAAGCATGGTTCACCCACCTGAGGTTGATGTTGACAGATGTCTTCCGTCTCCCCTCGATACCCAATCTTCTCACCCAGGACAACGGGAAAAGTTACCATCCAGACATAGACTCTCTGAACCTGACAGCGTGGAGAATACTCCCTCCATAAGAGACATACTTGATTGAGCTCGAAAACCTTCGACCCAACGTCTATATTGGAATAAATGGAAGGTTTTCCTATCCTTTGCCAACTTCCACAACTTACCTGCAATCCCTGTTTCCTTGAGAACTGTACTTGCCTGTGTCCTTCATCTCTTTCATCTTGGCCTATCTCATTCTACCCTGAAGGTTTATATCTCTGCTATTACGGCGCACCAGCCACTTCATTCCAATTCCGCTAAGCTTTTTTCCCACCCAACTTTGAAAAAATTCCTCAAGGGACTCCACAATATTCGCCCACCACGTCAACATCCTCTTCCACAGTGGTCCTTGCAACTTGTCCTCAATGCACTTACTTGACCACCCTTTGAACCAATAGCTACTACCAGTTTTAAATTACTTTATCTGAAGACGGCATTCCTCGTAGCAATAACATGTGCTAAACATGCTAGCGAACTTGCTGCCCTCAGATCTGACCCACCTTTCCTCCAGTTTCACCTAGATAAAGGCACCCTCTATCTTGATGTATCATTTTTACCTAAAGTTGTCTCTGAATTTCATCTTAATCAACCGTTTATTACCTACTGTACTCTATTTCCTTCTCTTTCTACACCACTCAAGTGCATGCTCCACATGCTTGACGTAAGACACTCTCTGGCCTTCTACATCATCGTCGTTTAGTCGTGTCCGACTCTTCGTGACCCCATGGACCAGAGCACGCCAGGCCCTCCTATCTTCCACTGCCTCCCGGAGTTGTGTCAAATTCATGTTGGTTGCTTCGCAGACACTGTCCAGCCATCTCATTCTCTTCTACATTGATAGGACTAAATCATTTTGAAAATCACCACGACTTTTTCTATGTTTCCACGGCCCTCATAAAGGTGCTCCAGCTTCACCTCAAACTATCTCTCGATGGATTATTCAAACTATCTCACTGCCATATGAATTGTCAGTCAAAACACCACCTGAACATTTGAAGGCCCACTCTACTAGAGTGCTGTCCACCTCTACTGCACTTTACCGTCGAATTAAGCTTCCTCACATCTGCTGTGCAGCTACATGCTCTAATCCATCGACCTTCATGAGACATTACAGTCTTGATATCCAGGTGAAAATGATGCTGCTTCTGGCAGAGCAATCTTGACATCCCAATTGTGTGGATTCACAGAGGACCACTAGAAGAACCATGGTTACAGGTAGGTAACCTCTCTTCTTCCCCTTTCTGGCCTTGCAGGCTCATTCCCTGCTCCTCCAGCACCTGTAAGGCCCACTTTAGGTAGGCTAAACAAAGGGTGCTACAACAGGGATGGTTTATGATGGCTTTTGGTTGACAAGGTCAGACAAGGGGTTTAAGAACCTTTATTCCAGTGATTCTGCCAGGTGAGAAGGCTGCAGCAGAAGATTCTTTCTCTCCCCATTCTTGTTGCTCCCTTCCCTCTCTCCAATCTCCCACCCTGAAAGGATGTTTAAAGGTGAAACCGCCTGCCAGGAGGGACCTGCATGTCCTTGCCCATTTCCTCAGATATGTAAACCAACTTACTCCTTTTTTTATTCATAACATTTAGCTACTTTATTATCTACCGTTAAGTTTAAGCTTCTTATATATACATAATTCTCTGCTCTCACTCCTGAAATAAAGTTTTTGTTCCCATGAACACATGCTTATTATAGCAGTTCACTATAATATTCTGATGATTCAATTTGCTAAGGTTTGGAATCTTAGTACTTTTGATTATTAAGAAGGATATAAGTAGAGTTTGCCTAGCTAATCATTAAAAAATATTTGTGTGTTTTAATAACATGTTTAACTGTACTGCTCTCGGGGTTTATTTTTAGAAACAACAAGAGGAAAAGATGAGAATGAAATATGAATTAGAAGATCTAAGGTACTTACTGGACAACAAAAATACAAAAGCAGTTCATAATTCTGTTTTGTCTGTTTTATATCAAAACCCTAGATGACAAAATTATGGTGGGGGATTTTGAGAAACTCACAGTAAGGAAAACAGTTTTTTAGTTCCAGTAAAACCCCACAATGTTGGAAGTTTATTTGAACCTTTCGACTATCTTGCTCTATCTTGCACATGAACTATCTTGCACCCTGGATCCATTCCAGTTGGGCTTCAGGCCACACCATGGTACGGAAATAGCATTGGTTGCCCTGTTTGATGACCTGCTGAGGGAGGCTGACAGGGGCAAAATGTCTTTGTTGGTCCTCCTCAATATCTCAGCCGCCTTTGATACTGTCGACCATGGTATTGTGGGAGGGAGTGTCCATTTTCTGCTTCTAACGTCACTTCTCATAGTTCCAGTTAATTATCATTATTAAAGATCAATGTTGCACTAAATGCCATATTGGCATTTTATATAAAGAAGTATACTTATTTCCTAGGGCTCAGTATGAACAGCTTTTAGAAGAGGGGAGCAGTGAATGTTTTGATGAAAGGCGTGTTAATCTTCTAAAGGCTCAAGTACTACAGCTGGAAAGGCAGGTAATGTGGTCTATATTCATAAAATGCGAGAACTGAATTTTATGTGATTGCTGTCAGCTCTTGGGAATGTGAAAAAAGCTTTTTCAAAAATATGTGTTTATAGTTTCTGGTGTTGGTTGTTGTGGGTTTTTCGGGCTCTTTGACCGTGTTCCGAAGGTTGTTCTTCCTGACATTTCGCCAGTCTCTGTGGCCGGCATCTTCAGAGAACAGCACTCTGTGCTCTGGTGTAGTTTGCTTGGGTGTTGTTTGAAACTTAAATTTACATATCCATATCTCACCTTTCACATTTCTGTTTTTTTCTTCAATTTGAAAACTTATCTTTTAAAACAAACCCTTTTAGAAAGTAATGTTTCCTGCTTCTGAGTTTTGTTGATGTTTTACTGGGTAATAGGATATAATAGGCTGCGAGAAGGAATTTCTGGAAATGCCTGATCTTCTTTTTCAGAAATGTTAAACTTAAGAATGAAAACAAAAACCAAACAAGTTGCGGTTATTTAAAATAGAAGTTTAAAGAATTCATCCAAGATTAGTATGAAGACTGTTGCTTCCTTAACTCTTGACAGAACAGTTATCATTAGACATGTGCCTATTTGTTGCTGTTCTGAAATGATCGACATGCCAAGAACTTCGTGATATTAAAAGACAGATATGCAAATGAGGCTACAGCACAGGAAGGGCTAATGGGAATGTATGAAGTTGCACCTAACAAGGTGAAGATGAATGTATCTGCACAACAGGTCTGTCTCATGGTATTTGAGACTGAATAATCAATTTGCTGTAAAAAGTGGCTGGAACCTTTGGTCTTCTCCAAGCTTTGGGTGATTTCCAAATCTCCAGAGTTGATGGTGTTACGTGGCCTCTGTGACCTTTTGTTTGAGATGTACTATTAGGTGGAATACTGTATTCTTTTCAGCTGCAGCAATTCATTAGATGCTCTTACGAACTGGTTGCTTCAGCCTACTTTTTCAGTCAGCTACAGTGAATAGAACTAAACATTGTGTTTGGGTGGCTGCCAGCAAAAGCAGCAGCCCCATATATGACATTGTTACATTGAAAATATCCTCAATTCTATTCCACTCCATTGACTGACATTGGATCAAAAGTGTTAGAGAATGCTGGAGTGGGTTATATTTAAATACTAGACATTAACATGGGAGGAAAGGACTTGCCAGGTGATTGTGGCTTTGAGCAGCAACCATACAATATCCAAGAAATCTAGCTTCAGCCTGAGCAACCAAACATGGATTTTACTATGAATAAGTAGAAAGCAGAGTATGTAGTACAGTGGTGCCTCGCATTACGATGTTAATTCGTTCCAGCAAAATCGTTGTAGAACGAAAACATCGTAAAGCGATTTTAAAAAGCCCATAGAAATGCATTAAAACCCGATTAAGCATTCCTGTGGGCTTGAAACTCTCCGTCCCGCGAAGATCCTCCATAGCGCGGCCATTTTCGCTGCGAGAAATCCGTCCCAGAAAATAGTGCCCGCGAAGTTTTTTACCCGGTGGCCATTTTGAAACCGCTGATCAGCTGTGCCAAAATCGCCATTTTGAGATAATCGGTTAGCGAAGCAGGGAACTGACCATCACAAAGTGAAAAAACCCCATAGGAAACATCGTTTTGCGATCGCTTTTGCGATCGCAAAAACTTCATCATTATGTGATTTTGTCGTAAAACGAAGCACTTGTCTTGCGAGGCACCACTGTATTGGACAAAGTAGAAGGCCATATAAAACAGTGAGATAGATACAGAAAAATGGAAGGCATTGTTTATAATTACAACTCTTGCAACAGCACATATACATAGCCATGGATACTACAGTGGTGCCTCAACGTACGAACTTAATTGATTCCAGAACTCCGGTCATAACTTGAAATGGTCGTAAGTCAAAGCACCATTTCCCATAGGAATGCATTGAAATGCAATTAATCTGTTCCGGCCGAAGGAAAAAAAATCACCCAGAAAGACTAAAACAACACTGCAAAACCCATCAGAAACGCAATGAATCCGTTCCAGCCGAAGGAAAAAACAACAATCAGAAAAGCAAACAAACACTGCAAGACCCACCGGAAACGCTATTGATCTGTTCCGGCCGAAGGGAAAAAACCTCAAAAAGCTAACAAACCCTGCAAGACCCATTGGAAATGAAAAAAAAAAAAAGCAGAGAGTGCAAGACCCATCGGAAATGCAAAAGAAAAAAGAAAAAAAGAAAAGAAAACCAAAAAGCAAACAAAGAGTGCAAGACCTATCGTAAATGGACCCCCCCCAAAAAAAACCAAAGAGTGCAAGACCCATCGGAAATGGGAAGCCCCCCCAAAAAACCATACAAACCCTGCAAGACCCATCACAGCATAGAAATATAATCCCACCACCCAGCCCAAAACCATGCTGCAAAACCCACCCAGAACAGTTTTTTTTTAAAGTAGAAAGCAGCACCTTACTTTACCAGGCAGTCTGAAGCCTTCTCCGATCATAAACTTTCTAACTGCTGGGGCGAAAGAGCTACAAAGAAGCAGCCTCTTCCCCACCAATGGTTAGCAATTTGAATTCCCTGCCTTTTCCCCCTGCCTTTTTCTGTTCGTAACTCGAAGCTCCGGTCGCAAGTAGAAGCAAAATTTTGCGGCCACAGCTGGTCGTAACTCGAAATGGTTGTATGTCAGGATGTTCGTAAGTCGAGGAACCACTGTACTGGCCTTTCCTCTCTGCATGGTCAATACAACAGCTTCTGTTTAAGCCTAACTTCTTTCATCCACTGGATGTCATGAAGGTGTGTGGTGTTCCAGTTTACGAGAAAAGAAACCAATATTAATACAACAAGAGAAGAAATTGAAATACCTTTTGGATTCTCTTCTGTGATTTTTTTCCCACAGGTAGTGCTACTTACAGAAGGATTAAGTTCTCGAGCTGCTCTTATGCTGGAATTAAACACTTCTTTACAGACTATTGCAGACAAGCTTAGGTAAGCAAGAAGGAATAATTTGATCTCCATATCTTGAAATAGATAAAAAAAACAGCCATCCTGTGTAAAAGGATGATCATAATATGTGGTATTGAGCATCAGAGATTGTGAGGTCTTATCTTTTTATCCTGCCTTGGTAAACATGGTAAACTTGCTTATATACCGCCCCATAGTGCTCAGAGCACTCCCTGGGTGGTTTATAATTTAATTATGCAGGCTATACATTGCACACATGCACACACACACACATGCAAGCAGAGTGCTCAGTTTTCTGACCTTGGATGGATGGAATGCTGAGTCAACACTGAATTGGCTACCGGAATCAGTTGGGCTGGAACTTGGATTGTGAGAAGAGATGGGGGTATTTGTATACGAATACCCCCACACAGGTGGACATAATGAGGGTCCAGCCTCCTGGGACTAGACCATCCACTCACCTTCTGCTGTTGCTGTGAGCTCTGTGCTCCCTTCCTATCACTCTGGAGCTCACGGTTTGCAAGCCACTCTTTGACCTTGCAGCGAGACTCGTCCTCCTGCCAAGAGTGGCTTGCAGACTGAGAGCTCTGGAGTGATAGGAAGGGAGCACGGAGCCCACGGCGACAGGGAAGGTGAGTGGATGGTCTGGCCCCAGGGGACTGGACTCTCGTTAAGACCATCTCTTGAAAATTGACATTATGCATGATCTTTAAAGCTTAAAAAGTAAATTAGAGATTGACATTATCATTGTGAAAAATGCTAAGAAAAAATACTGGGTAAACATTTTTAGCATTATTAATGCATAACTCTTGTATACAGCTCTTTCCTTAGCACTGAAGGAACCACCTCTGAAGTAAGCGTGCCCTGTGCAGAAATTCGTCAAACAATTGAGCGGTGCCAGACAATGAGACTCAAACTACAAAGAAACCAGAAAGTGAGTCACGTCAATTTCTAGAAGAAATTTGAATATCACTGATGTTTTCTTTTTTATAGCGTAGAGTTGTTATTCTAT